CAACATCCATCTGTCTCTACTGTGATTAACATTGTCATCCTGTTAGGTAAATACCATATACATTGTTGTAAATGGAGGAATAGAAAACCATCCTTTACATGGTTCATCAATGACTTTAAACATTATTTCATGTCACTTAAAAAACTGAAGTCAAGCAGATTTGCCGCAATCTATGATGACATTTCCCATTTGCTACTGCTTTGATTATTACCTCTATTGTGTATCAACCTGTGCTCTTTTTTAATTCTTCCCCGTTAATACTGATGATTTTTTGTCTAGCCCCTCCCCCCATATCCTTGCTGTTAGTTTTGTTGTATTGACTATGTTCTTTTTTTTTTATCCTCCACGAGAGTTCATTTGCACTATAATGTGTTATCTTGTTTGTGACTGTATTGTTTCAATTGTTAAAAAAAAAATGAAAAAATTTGACAAACAGTGGGTGGCTGCCTTTTCCCCAAAATGGCGGATGTAGGGTTAATTTAGCCCCGAGTTGGCGTTCACAGGTAGCGATTTGGTCCAGGTTTTGCTCACATAGGGGTTTGTTTTAAATTTTTACGGAAGGTAATTAACCTTATCGATGTGCCAGTAAGTAAATAATTTAGTCAGACTTATCCCCGTCCCTTATTTCGGTCTTTGGACGACGGCAACATCGTTATTGTCTTGAACAGCTGCCTGACAAGCGACTTTCCGGGTTAAACCATCAATGCGTATGCGCATGCGAGCTGTGGAGTTTGAAAACAGCAGCGCGAAAAAGCAGGACGTCAATAACGCGAATTTTTAGATTTCAAATAATTATATTGTCTTTTAACTATTTATGATTTGTTTTATGCCTTTTATAATTAAGGCTTAATTGTTTCTCAAAGAAAACTCGTGCTCGTTACTTAAGACGCTTTTGGGAGTCAGACGTTGTCATGTTGTTTCAGCTACATTAGGTTAACGTTTTGGTTTATTTCGACGTTTTCACGAGCAAACATGAAACCCACACGAGGTTCTGACCGGGCCCCATCAAAAACACCCAACAGGAAAAACAAGGAAAAAGCAGAAACATCGAGTCGGGTGAGTAAGTACACTCCAGCTGTCGTCGTCGTCGTTGTTATCTGTAGCAGCTCAGGCTGACTTGTTACCTTGTCCTACTTTAGGACCAAGCCAAGATCATCCATCCAAAACCATCACAGACGAAAGGTTAGGAACCTCTTATACCTCTCATTCTACAGCAAACTGTGAAGTTTGTATTTGTTTGTATTTTCTAATGCGGCTCTTGTCTTTAAAGCTGAAAGAGGATCATCTCCTAACCCTAAAAGAGCTAAAGTGCAGGACAACAGGGCGCTGATGTCCAGGTCCTCCATCACTGCTCTGGAGAACATAATGGACTTATCAGTACTGTGAGTCTCACATCAGAAGTAGAATGCTCTTATTTTTAACCATAACCTGACATATATTTCAAGCTGAGGTTTTCCTGTTGACATTGTGCAATATTAGCAAGAAAATCTACCTTGTAAGGACACTTTGTTCCCCCCCCTGTTCACAGAGCAGCTCTTGCTGTGAAGCGGACAGAGAAGAAGGAAAGCCAGGAGCATCTGAAAAAAATGAAAACCATGTAAGCATTAAGTCTGAAATTACAGTTAAAATATGTATAAATAAACAACATAAGTAAGTAAAATTCTTATTTATATAGCACATTTCTAGATAAAAAGATCACAAAGTGCTTCACAAAGTATAAAACAAAAACAGACAAAAGTTAGCAAAATGCAACAAGATGTGTTTTTAGTTGTTTTTTTAAAAGTGACCACTGAGTCCGCAGATCTTAAGTTCTGAGGAAGAGAGTTCCACAGTCTCAGCCTTGTATGCTGAATAACAAGTAGGCTCTGATCACAAGACCTCAGAGACCTACTAGGGACATAGGGCTGTAAAAGTTCAATGATGTAGGCTGGTGCTTGTCCTTGAAGAGCTTTAAAGGTCAGAACCAATATCTTAAAATGGACTCTGAATTCAACGGGGAGCCAGTGCAGCTGTATAAGCAATGGTGTTACATGAGAGTACTTAGATGTTATGGCAGAAGCCTTGCTGCAGCATTTTGGACAATCTGCAGACGTTCCAGGAAGTTTTTGTTTAGACATGTAAACAGTGAATTACAGTAGACCAATCGCGATGAAGTGAATGCATCAATAACAATCTCCAGTTCAGTATGAGATATTAAAGGGCCCAATTTAGAAATGTTTCTTAAATGATAGAAGCAGGACCGAACCAGAGATTTGACGTGAACATCCAGAGTAAGAGCAGAATCAAAGGTTACCCCTAGGTTCCTGATAGACGATTTCACAAATGTTGAAAGAGGACCAAGAGCATTCATTATGTTTGGTACGGTACATGTCTGTCACATACAAGGACTTCAGTCTTTTCTTCATTAAGTTAGAGGAAGTTGTCAGCCATCCAACTTTTGATGGATTCTAAGCACTCATTTAGAATCTGCAGCCTAGACACATCTTCAGGTTTAAAAGAAATATATAACTGGATGTCATCTGCGTAGCAGTGCTAGCAAATGTCCTCAAAGGGGCTCAAAATATGCTGGAGAGGAAGTAGATATAATAAAAACAATAAGGGTCCCAGCACAGAACCTTGTGGCACACCATAGGACAGGGACGTGGAAGATGACCTGTACTTAGAGACCGCCACAGAAAAGTATCGTTCATAGAGAAACGAGGAGAACCACTCTTAGGCAGACCCAGATACACCAACCCAGTATTTCATCCTTTCATGCAAAATGTAATGTATCGTTTTGCATCAGAATGTCACTAGAAACTCTAAGAAGGGCTGTTTCAGTAGAATGAGCTCTACGAAAGACAGACTGAAATTTGTCAAAGATATTATGTTTGTCTAAAACATAATAACCACAACCTTTTCTAATATCTTAGCAATTAACGGCAATTAACCATTATTCACTATCTGACCTACATGCAGTTGGAAATCTTTTTACTTTAAATTTAAGTCACACATGAAATTAAGTTTGTGTAGGTTGGTTTTAGGAACATGCGGCACTTGAAAGCGGCACTTAAACTTGAACGCCTGTCACATCACACGAACGTCACACGCCTTGTGTGATGTTTGCGTATGTTTGAACCCCATCAGGTAGCACATTAGAAGCCTTGCGGTGCTTTGTTAAGACCAGAAGAGTGGCTAAAGGTGTGGCATGGCTCACACCCTTTCATTACATCCCACATAATTACCTTGATGATGTTCAGATTGTGGCTTTGCTCCAGGCTTTGTTCCAGAAAGCAGGTCTAATGAAAAGTATGACTTCGGTTAACCCTTAGGTTATAGGTTATAGACTAGATTGCTCCCTGAAACAAAAAATTGGGTGTAACACTGTGACTCTGGAATAATAATTCAGGACTTATGGTACTGTGTTTGTGTCCGCAGGTATTTGCTTACACCCAGTTTATACCTTTGTGATAAATAAACAGTCATAACCGCAAACTCCTCTGATACCCTAAAACATATCCTGCACTGTAACCTGATGTGGATGCCCCTAGAAAAGTCACTACATGTCTCATCAACACAGCTCGATTCTACCTGTGCACTTCCATCTACTATTTTGCAGCATTCATGTTCTCAATATAAGAAACAATAATCATAGCTTCAATTCAGGGACTCAAAGAAGTTGTCACATACCTGTAAGGACATTGAGGGAATGTATGAAGAAGTAGGAAAACTGTGAAGGACAAATATTTGCCTTTGAGAGAGGAAAAAACCCCCAGATGCAACCTATGTGCCCCCCCTCCCCCCAAAAAACAAAAACCAAACAAACAAACAAAAAAACCCCCAAAAAAACAACTGCATGTTGGTCAGATAGTAAATAATGGTTAAAATCTGGGCTAAACAGGAGCGACACCAGTGTTCAGGAAGAATGAGAACAAGCACCACAAAACATTCAAACAAAAAAACAAAAAGCACGACAAGCTTAGATGGTGACTTTAGTGCAGTTTAAGATAAGACAGCTATTAGGTTGTTAGCCTGTCCCCATGCACTGAAACAGTTGGCATATGTTACTGCAGCAATCTCTATTTAATAAAACTGGTCTGCATATTTAGACACAACGCAGTGATCACTGATGAATCAGTTGTTGTGTTGTAACCGATCGGCCTTTCTGGAACCAGAAACTCAGAGTTCATCAGCTCAGTGTTTGTTTCACACAAAGCAGGGCCCTGCTCTGTGTGGGTGTGCATCACAATGATAAGGATTGAGTGAAAGTGGATGAACCCTCATTAAATTACTCATTTATAATCCTCTGTTTTATTCTTTTATTAATTCAGACATCATCATTTGAGAATTTTTTTTAAACTGCAGTTTGTGTTGCCTTTTCCTGATGTGTTTTCCGACCCATTTTAGGTTCCTGGCTCAGTGTGCACAACTCAAAGTTCCAGTGCAGAAACAAAAATATTTGGAGCACTCATCCAGGCATCACCAGGACGAGACTAAGAAGTCAGTGGTTGGAGAGAAGAATCTGAGCATCTTGAAGGTGAAAAACATAAAAAATGATTCGATTGCTTTGGAGGATTTGATTGGAAGCTAAACTGTCTCTTGGTGGAAAATTTATGTGGCCATGAACTTGATACATCTGTGCAAAAACCTACTGATATAGAGAGGTTTTCACATTTCTGCAAGTTGATATTCTGTTTGTTCAGCAGGTATGAGAAAAATGATTTGCACTGCCTACCTTATGGTTAGACTGTGGTCTTTGACACCATTGAGATAAAGTCTGTTTCATTTTGTGTGCTGTGGTTTCTCTGCTCTGAAGTAACACCTACTCAGCTCTCTGTACGTGAGAGCAGACGAAGGATGGGGTTAAAAAACAAAACAGGAATTTAACTGCTCACAATAAAACTGACTGATACAATTAGGTCAATATGTTTGTAAACTGGGACACATCGATTTTTTTTAAAAAATTTTTGCCACAGTACAACACCACAGCGAATTTTAAATCAGCCAATCAAGACTGAAGTGCAGACTTTTAGCTTTAATTCATTGTTTTAACTGTTTATGAATTGTAGCCATTTTTATTTTTTCAGAAGCTCAAAAATAATATGTTTTTTTTTATATTTTATTTTTAGTAATATAATGATCTATTATTTACATGGACGAAAAACCTTTGCAGTCAATGAGGGTCTGAAGTGTAGAACTAATGGGCTGCACCAGATGTTGTGTTTCCTCCTTTAAGATGCTCTGCCAGTTTTTGTGTTCAGTAATTGAAAGCATGCTCTGTGTTCATTTATCTATTGAAGAATCTATTTTCTTTAGCTTGAGAAACTGTTGGGTTGTTTTTGCAGTATGCTTTGGTTTATTATCCATTAGGGCTGCAGCTGTCATTAATTTTAGCAATCTATTGATAATTCCACTGATTTAATCGAGTAATTGGATAAGAAATAATTTTGTCTAATGAGGAATAACAAATATTCAAAAGAGGAAAAACACAGGTCTTTCAAAATCAATGTTTATTTTTTTAAAGATTAATGCAATTTAATTAACACAGTATTTTATACTATTTCACGTTCAATCTGATAATGTTACGAAACCTTAAAATTAATATGATCTAGTGCATCCCATGCCCCCTTTTGGACACGCCAATGTTTGCTGCAGGCATTGCTTCCATGTAAAATAAGACAGCTTGAATCAGCCTTCAGAGGGCTGTATGATTTAAATGTGTTATTAGGCTAAGTTAAGAGTTCATCTGCATATTTTAATACAACTTCTGGAGGCTTACTGATTTTCACCGTGTAAAAGAAACACTGATGGATGGAGCAGCTACAAAGTTTGCTTTTCTTCAGGTCGGAGTTTGTTGATCAGGTGCTTCGATCAACAAACCAACGTTGGAAACACGTTTTCTTTCACTCTACCTAAGCTTACTGTCTCAGTAATGGCTCTGCCTCTTTGCTCTTCACGGTGCGTGGGTTTTATGTTGTCAGACTTCCTATATCATCGTCAGATTTGATACATTTAACACATCAGAATGCTACAGAGCCACGTGTTAAAACGAAGCATCAAAGCAAAGAATTTGTGTTGAGGATTTCTTCTTTTTATAAGCGAATTACTCGATGAATCGTTGCAGGCCTGGTTTTCTATTTGCACTGTGAAGGTCTGTATGATTAGTTTTTCTGCAACTGGCTCAATCTGAGCAGACAATATAGGCATGTAAAGTTAGACGATGGGGTGTTCTCCCCAACTATCTTCACTATAGGGATGTGTATATATGTGTGTGGTTGCACAAGTATGTATATAGACCTGTAAATTTGTATCTTTTGACTTATTACTGGGGCTATAAAGATACATGTAACAAATGTATACACTATTAGTTACTAAATAGTGGAATGGGGTGGGATTAAACAAGCTTATGCTTCTTTCTACTTTTTTTGAACATGTAAGTTATTTATAATAATTGTTTAAAATTTTCCTTTTGTTTTGCTTCTTTTTTCTCTTTTGTGGTTGTATACTATTTTAACATGTTCAAAATTAAAATACAATAGAATACACTAAAGAGTTCATCGTGCTGCTGCTAACAGCAGTCCTATTATCTTTAAGTACTAGTGACCCATAACACACAACACTCTCCACAAATTCATCAGACCATGAGCTGTTTTCCCTCTCTCTGCACCCATTTTTACTTACTTTTTTTTTACGTTTTTAATTTGTTTTGGTACAAGTGCATCTTGGTGTTATCTGTTTAAAGATTTAGTCTGAGCTTTTCTTGTTCTTGTTCACCTTTCTGTAGACCAACAAGGTGCAAATTACTCATTAAGTTGTCTCTTGATTGTTGGTTTTGACGACTATATGCTTACCTCCTCCAGAGTGTTCTTGACTTGGTTCAATGATTTTAACCATTGAAATAATTCTGTCATCATGTCTGTCATTTGTACCTATTTTCTGTGGACATTTAGACCTCTTTGGTGGTCAGTGCATTCATTATTCTGTTTTAAAAAATTATTGTGATTTGGTGCCTTACAGTTAAAAGTGAGTCGAATTAAAATTTCGAGCCTATGAAAATGGGGAATATGTCTAAAAATAATTCTTGAATTAAATATGAAAGTTTGGACTTAAATCATGTGTTAATTAATTGGTTTAAAATTCACGGTGGAGAAATTGTCTAAAAGTCTGTGAACATAACTTCTGCCTTTTCACTGAGATGTGACAGGTCATAGAAAAAAAATAACATATCATGCTAAAAAAAAAAAAAGTCCTACAACAAGAGAATGGTATCAGTGGTTTTACATGAGGTCTTCTTTTTGACTTTGCAGGAAGACTTGAGGGCTGTGGTTCGTGCACTGGAGAGGCTGGAGGAGGAAACAGAGTCTTTGCAGCACTCATGCAGTCAGCTGAGGGACCAGTTGGAGGAGGAAGAGGAGAAAGCTAAAGAGGTGCAAATGATTTCACACAAGCACACATACTTATTTGTCTTTATTGCAACATTCTCCAATCACTGCTGTCCTGATTTTAATTCAGGTGTGAATTTGACCTTTTTATTTTAGTGAAAATCTGCTACAGCTGTTATGAGCATTTATATGATGCTATTAATATAAACACGCATTTATCTATTAAAGCATTACAGCATTGTCTGAGTTTTTCATGGCTGAATCATCCTCTTCACACTAAAGTTATCACCTACAACCTCAAAACACTGAGGAGTCGCAGCAGATGTGAATGTTGTCATTTCGTGCCTCGTGCTATCTGATACAGAACATTTAACCATATTGGCCAGTGTCAATGCCTCAGGCTCATTGATATATTCTTGGAGTTGTTCCTGAGCAATTTTTGTGGTCCTGCTGTGAGAGTCAGCTGTCATGGCAAAGGGCACATCCATGTTGGGAATCTCATCTTCCACTACATCCCAGAGGTGCTGTATTAGAATGAGATCTGGGGACTGTTGGGGCCATCTGAGTACATTGAACTCACTGATACATTTAAGAAATCAGTTTGATAGATTTGCATTTTGCAACATCTCGCGTTCTTCTGCTGTAAGCAGCCATCAGAAGATGGTGGTCATAAAAGTATGGACATGCAACAATTCTCACACACGATGTCTCTGTAGCGTTTAAATGATGCTCAGTTGGTACTATGAAGTCCACAATGTGCCAAGAAAATATGCTTCACACCATTACAACCTTACCAGCCTGAACCTGATGGCTCCATGCCTTCATGTTGTTTACTGACCCTGCCATTTGAATGCTGTAGCAGATATTGATTCATCTATCCAGGCAACTGGTGAGACTGTGAACTGTAGCCTTGGTTTCTTTTTCTTAGTTGGCCCCTGTTGTGGTCTTGGTTTGACGTGTTGTGTATTTAGATATATTCTTCTGCATACCCTGATTGTAACCAGCGATTTAACCAGGCTGACTTTATTATCGTTTTCAAGCAGTCTTAAAATAGCAATCAAGTTATTTAAAACACTCTGGCCATACTCCGTTGACCTCTGGCATCAACATGGCATTTTCACCCAGAGATCTGCTGCTTATTTTCTGTTTTTCCGATCATTCTCTGTGAACCTTAGAGATGGTTGTGCGGGGGAAATCCCAGCCGATCAGCAGTTTCTGAAATACTCAGATCAGTTTGGCTACGTTTAAGTTTGTTTATGTTAACAAGCAGATGAACAGGTTTATCTGATAAACTGTTCATTACCACCTCTGGTGTGTTTTTCAAATTCTGAACCTTTTGTGTCGATTTATTTCTTTGATCTGAATTTTCCCTTTTTGAACGTTACTCTCTTCTTTCTTTCCTTTTGCCTTTTTTTTTGCAATAGACTATGGAGGTTCTGCTACAGGTTTTATTATATGCTATATAACTATGTTTTAATGTGACATACATTACAGTAAATGGGTCATTTAATAATAGTAGATGTCACAGCTGAAGTGACCAGAAAATCGTGGTGTGAACTGCAGTTTCGACACCATCATGGGGCCGTTAGAAAGGTTTGTCTAGACGTTTGTTACAGAATCACCATAACCGTGAATTTTTCGTGATGTTTGGCTGAAATGTGGCTATTTTGTGGCTGTTGTGAAATCTGACATAACCTATTCTGGAGAAATATCAAGTATTGCCTGGAATGCTACACCAGAGCCATATCGAATCACAGACTCGAAGGTTTCTAATGATTTACTTCAAACTCACACAGCACCCCTTTTCTGGTCTTCACAGATTTTACGAATAAGTGAACGAGCTGTTCTCAAACTTCCCTGTCTTCCTTCTCAGAAAGGTGAAACATTGGAGGTGAGTGTTGTTATTTTAAGAGCTAGGCGCAGCCAACATTTTCACACTATCTGAAATGTGCTTCATTTAACCAAATTGCACAATATTACTTATCACTAAAGGTGAAGTTCATTTTGTTCCTTTCTTCTTTTTTTATGAATAGCATTTCTAAATAGCTTAGTAGGCACTTCCTCTACCATGTAACAGGAAAGCCTGTACATGTTCTCTGTGGTGCAACTTCTGTGAAAAAACATGAAATTCATGTTACGAAAGGCAGAGAGAGAGAGAGAGAGAGAGAGAATGTGACTTTTAGGTTCTGTGTTATCTTGGTTATCTACTCAGCTACAGAATAAACCCTTGTTTTTGTTCTAGCTGTTTTCACGAGTCATATCACTCATAATACGTTTTACCTGGAATTAGTTGAAAAATCAACCACATGTCACAGGTCATGCTGAGTGTAGGTCATCTGAAGTCACTACAACCTGCAAGTTTCAAACCTGAAAATTACACCTGTGCCACTTTTTGGCACCATAGGACTGCAACAGTTATCTTTTCTCTGGTTCTAAGCCTTAAAAACTGTACTTGTATCTGCGGTAATGTGTGTATACCCACTGCTGATTGATCTGCTGCCTCTCTTCCCTAGGAGAAGACCAGATCATTTAAAAAAATCAATTTAAATCGCCACTTTCTATTTTCCTCAGGCTCTGCTGAGAAAGTTTATACCAGACAGCGATTCTGCAGCCACAGCTCGGAAACTGGGCCAAATTCTGCAGAAATCAAAGCCAACCAAGGATGACCAGGTGCTGCTTGCGCAGGCACGTGAACACGCCGATCGGCTCTTCCACCCCGGCTGCGTATCGAATAGTAGCACACTGAGTTTTGAAGAAACGTAGCATTAAAGAAGAGGTTTAGAGATTTGCTGCTCAGTATTTATTGGGTTTGATACTTCTTACTTCCATATTTGTGGTTGTCTTTGCGGAATATTTCTGCTTACCATGCTTCGCTGGTATTGAGTTTGCATCATATTCCTGTTTTCAGCTACTTTTTTCTTTGTTTTTTATTAATTATGTGTTCTGTTATGTGGATGTTTTTTGTCTTTTGGTGGACATAAAAGCCTGATATCCAACTTCTGTGGCAAGTTTAGGCTAAACAACTGAAAATTAAATAAAGTCACAACTGAACAGTGAATTAATTAAAATCCTGCTGCCTAAACTTTTTTTTACAGTGGAAGATTTAGTGTGCACTGAATAAAAACAAGTCCAAATCTTGCTGCTGCTTGCTGCTTGATGTTTTGCAAGCCTAGTGAGACATTCAGCTAACTAAAGCTACTGGAATGCGTTTAATCTGGAAAACTTTTGGTTTTAACAAATTTGGAGAATCTGCTCTGTGCTGGAAACAATAGCATTCTTGAAAGGATTATGCAAGATATGGGTTGTTTTTTCTTTTTAAGAACTCCGTGTAATAAAACTTACCCTGCAGCCAGGAAGTTAGCATCGAAATGACGTTGTTTTTTTCATTGCTGTGCATGTTGCATAAACCAGTGAACAAGATGATTCATGAATTCATTTTCCCCTAGAATAACAACCCTGCCATCAGCATGTTCAGACAGAGGCAGCTTCTTGTTAGGAGCTGGCAGCAACAGCCAAACCCGAATCTCCTTTTCATGAGCCAAATATGCTCTTTTTGGCAAATCATAGGAGTAATTTCTGTTTGTTTGTTTTGTTTTGTAAATGAAACTTTTCCATTCCCATTCTCAAAAATTTTAATAGCCTATTAAAAAAAAAAATAAAAAAGTATGTGTACATTCAAAACAAATCAATAACAGTCCAGATCCTTGAAATACATGGTCCAGATAGAAGCACATCTCTGCAAAACTGTCAAACTAAAGCAAAAATCATCATTTTATTTACAAGATTATGTGTGGTTTTCACTCATAAAGAGGACACTGCGGTACATTCACTTGTAATAACTCAAACACTTCTACTTCTGTATTTACACAACTCACATTTTAAAGGGGGATGAACAATTTCCACAAAAGGAGAAATGCGCATGTTAAAAGAAATGCTGAAGAAATGAAGAGCTAACATGCTAAATTATTACATTATTGGCCTCCCTGTTACATCTGCGAGTTTTTCAGTGACTTCCTTCGTATGGACTCTGAGGAGTCATCATTGAAAAGTCGGTCAATGGTGGAGACCAGAGAAGCTTTGATGGCACGGCCTAAGCCTCTGGCAGCAAACACGTAAAGCACGGGGTTCAGGGCGCTCTTGATATACACCAGGTACAGAGATATGTATTTACCATAGCTTGCTGACTGAAACAGAGAGTGAGATTTGGCCAAAGCCTGTATAAATCGACAAACAAAATAGGGGACCCAGCAGGTGAGGAAGAGGAGCATTGTGAAAAAGAGCACATGGTACATCCTTATCATCTTGCGTGCCATTGAAGGAGTGGAGGAGGTGGGTGTTGGAGGTGAAGCTCTCCTAATAGTGAGCAGAACAGCCAGGTTACTTCCCAGGAACACCAGCACGGGCAACATGAAACCTGCTAAAGTTTCGATTACGAACAAAGTCGTATTATGCCCTTCACTCTCATAGCAAAGGTGTTTCCCAGATTTCTCCTGCAGGACAGCGAAGTAGAGGTAGGGGCTAGACAAGATGGTAGCCATCAGCCATATGAGACCACAGGCCAAAGGGACGGCCCAAGCTGGCCGTCGCAGTCGAGCCCACACCGGCCTCAGCAGGCACAAGCATCGTTCCAGAGCCACAGCGCAGAGGAGGAAAGCAGAGGCGTACAATCCCAGGACCCGCAGGAACATGATGATGCGGCAGAAGGTGTCCCCAAATGGCCAGCTGTTGTGAATGAGAAAGCCCAACATGAGAGGGGTCCGCAGGATCAGCACCAGATCGGCCAGGGCAAGGTTCAGGACATAGACACGGAAACTGCTGGCAGCGCGTGTCTCCTCATTACTGCCTCTACGCACCACATGACGATGACTCCGAAATCCAAGCGCCCAAACCACGAGCCCATTCAGAGGCGCGCCCACCTTGAGGTACCAAGACAACCAGGTTGCAGTTAGGCTCGGGGAAACAGCAACTTGACATTTTGCAGGAATTCATTTATTTGCTTGTTGTGAAGACTGAACCTACTGTTCATTCTGTGAAACCGATATGAAGATGGAGCTGGTCTTATTTAATGAGCTCTGGTGGCTTTTTCAGCCTTTGCATGACAATCGTCATTTACATTGAGCAGGCTCCCTGCCTGTTGTAGCTGCAATACATGGAGCATTTACTCCACATGTGTATATGTAAGTGGAACTGATACTGAATGTGGATTTTACATCGGAAACGATTCATGAACTGAAAGTAAAAAAAAAGGAGAAGATTTCTCACCAAGAAGATAAGCAGCGTAACTACAATCTGGGTTCCTCTTGAAGCCTCTGCCTGCCAGGTGCTGCTGTTGGAGCTAGATAGGTTTTCCACCTGTGTCCCATTCATGCCAGCCATCGGGCCGATACGAAACTGGGCTGTAATGCAGCACGTTAGTTAAATACAGAAAGTACTGCGGCTGTTTGTCAATAAACAATTTCATCACTGATGGAGAAGGAAAATATGCAACTGTTGCACTGAAAGACAGATTTCACATATGCTGGTTGTCTAAAATGTTGACAAGCTGATGTCCACACCACACAGGAAGGTGACGCCACAAACTTCCTTCTGTAGGTTTGCTCAGCTTTGCATTGTTTCTTAAAGTTACGTTCCTTACTTAAAAATAGCGAATGCGCATTACTGCATCAAAGTGAGTGCAGCGCTCGAGTCTGAATCACCTGGGTGGGTGTTTTAAAAACAAAAAATCATCTATCACTTAGGTGGCATTTTCTAATCGGATGAATAATCATAACCACTGCACGTAACTACTGTACTCTAACTTTGACAATTTTGTGGGTTTTAGTGCAAATGTCAGCTTTTATCTCAAGAGGCAGTTTGACTTTATGTGCTGCTTTTTGTTTCCATGGCGTGAATATTAAAAACATGAAAGCACAGCATGCACGTCAGCAGTGATTAACGAGAAAGGAATCTGCTACACGTACATTCAGGCAACCCCGGGGTCTGCTATTCTGCTGCTGCATGCAAACATTCATGTATCAGTGAACTTATCTCCCTGGTATGGATTCATTTTTTCAAAGCAAAAGTGAATTTCTGCTTTCACAAATCACAAAAAAATTTCCTTTTTCCATGTTAAGTATTAAAAGCAATGAGCAGCATTTGTGCTGCAACTGACTCCAATTTTAGTTTGCTGCCCGTACTAACCAGATCAGTACCAACCTGCACCAGAGTTATCAGTAGCTGTGAATCAGTGGAGATTAAACGCTTTGAAGTTGGTTGTTTTAAAAAAATAAAATTAAAATCTAAAAGCAGGATTCAAATTAAAATCTAATTCAAAGACTTCTTTACTCACCTCCTTTACTTGAGTTGTGGGTGGAAGAAGTGGAGTAGCATATCAATAAAAAGGGAGTGCCTATCTGCCTAACTCTCTCTCTTTCCTGTCTGTGATTGCAACACACAGACACACACTCCTTCCTATAACCATATTTACAACATCTCAGAGTCAATCATCATTTTCTTCTGATAGTGAAAAGCCATTTCAAGTGTTTCCCTCCGGCTTTATCAGCTGCTTTACATGAGTAGTTGTTAACCTCAGAGGCATAAAAGGTAAAAACTGAATAAGATAAAACTGCCACGTCTCTCTTAAAAAAAAAAAAAAAATAAATAAATTTGCCACAAAGTTGGTTTTTTGTTTGTTTTTTTCCATGAAACTTGATTTCTAACATTTTGGTGGGCACTTTGTTTTTCATAGCTGGCAGTGAGAGGAAACGTACCCCAGCTGCTCTTGAGCTGCCGGTGCCGCGTTCAGATATTCATCAATCTAGATTTCGATTTGCTTTACTTCCTTTTCTATTATGTCTGTCACATTGTTTTGCATTTCTTTGTGTGGAGTGGATGATAAGATCATTTTTAAACACCCGAAAAAACAGTTTTGGACTTGATCGAAGCATTCACTCTACATCAAAACAACAACACACGCTAATTTTAACAAAACACAACAAATGAATGTTGTTGAGCCAAAAGGATCTGTCGTTATAAATGAGGAGAGCACAATCAAACTGAAAATGCTATTGAAAAATAATTTTAGCTAATTCGTATTATTTTCAGCTGTGTTTGTGTCAAGGGTCAGCTGCTTTAAACTTATCAGGGACTCTGGTTTAATACTTTGGCCGGCTGGTTGATGAAGGTGCTCCTCACAGCAAAACACTGACGTGATAATTGAAAATTATTTATCTAACACAGCTTTCTGCTTTCACGAGACGCTCCAGATCACGCCTGTGCGTGCCATTTGACGTTTGTTTGCAGTGGCCGGGTCTAAAGCTTCCCTGAGGTAGGCTCAGTGTGTGAAAAGTGAAGTAGGCACACATTAAAACTGTACGCACCCTGCAGGAATGTCAAACAGGAATGTCAAATTCATTTTACATCGTGGGCCACATACAGCACATATAGTTGTTTCATGTAAAGTGGGCGGGAGTGGTGGTAACTTTTTATGATAGTTCATTGCACAGACTGATCTGTAATTATGAAAAAAGTTATTGTTAATTAACTACGGAGTCACTAATAGTAGAAAAACAGGAACTTCACTGAAATTAAATTTTTTATCTCTTAGTTAATCAATTTGGTGTAATTTAAGTACGGCTGAGCATGAGCAGTTTTTGTCAATAGAAAAAGATGTTAATGAACAACTTATAAAATTTCAGTTAAAAGTTCAAAATCTATGCATGTCTTCACATTTTATAAAGTCAGTGGGCCAAAATCAAGTCTTTGATGGGCCAGTTCTGGACCCTGGGCCTTATGTTAGACACCCCT